TGATCTTAGGTGTATCCTAGTTGTTTCCTGATACGGTGCGAGAGGTTAGGGTATGGATACGCAATGGATGAGAATGAAATAGGGCGCATTTACATCGGGTCGTGTGACTCAATGCTTTTGCCAAGCATTACAGAGTGACTGATCCCTGGAACGGATTGTGAATTACAACGGATAAATTATTGCCAGATGTTTTGTGTACAATAATGGATGTTCTCCTCCAACATCCTGAATTGTCCCCTAAGCGACAAAAACCACTATCTCCCCAGTTCAATAGTGACATGCCCCAGGATGTGCAGCTAACCCAATTTCAAGTGTATTGCTTGTAATGCCGAGCATGCAGCATACTTCGGTGTTACCCAATTCCTACCTGCTTTGATGTAAAATTTTAGGGTGCATTGGTATGAAGGACCCCAATTACCCTGCATTGAAACCCTGATTCTAAATTAATTGGGTTCATTCCCGCCATCAATGGAGCAAGATGGGGGGGTGCCCCATATCAATTGTGCTGGGGACAACATAAGATCAGATATGGTGTGGCGGAGATAATTTCTTCAGTTCACCCAAATTCCACCTCATGCATGAGCCATACATTTTCCAAGGCTCACATTGACTTCATCTAGAAGCTACCTTCCCTTTTGGATTGGTTGTCTCTTTCCCAGTTCACATGCATCGTTACATATGACGTCAGGAGATTTTCAGATCAATAAGGAAATAAAGGTCCACATGCACATTTTCTATTTCTATATCAGCACATGCATGGTGAGTTGCTTCATACAGTTTGATAGGACAACAGTCAAGTCATGGAAATGCAGTAGATCCAATCACCGTTAAGCAGTGGGGCCAAATTCCCTATGACTTATGCATAGGGAACCTCTGGCTTGAGTGTATCAATTCCGAGGTTTTTTCTCATAAATGGAGTGCTGAAGAGTTGATAGTGATGAGCCTCACCATCACACTCAAAGCAAATCGGGAAATACCTCTTGTTTCTCCAAGTCATTAAGCATGACCAGCATATCTTACTTATACAGCTCCCAAGAGTTGATTAACTACTTTAAAGAGACCATTGAGAATATTCAGACCATAGTTGTCCAAATGGAAGGAGAAGGCCATAAAGACATCACCACAAGCAACCGCTGGGGCATCGATCTGGCCAATGCAAATCGAATCGAACAGATCCAAGCGCAAATCGCAAGTTATTGCTCCAAAAAGAAAGTACTTAGTTCTTTGGTCCCCGACGCTTTGGTGATTTGGAATATCCACAGGGTCCGACTGGTAAGAGGTAAAATTTTGGCTTTGCTGAAGGTTTTTCCCATTTTGCTAACTTGACAACTTGTAGATCCCATTCGCATAGCAAACTGGGACCCCACAACCGGATGTATGGACCCCTTGATGGAACGCATGGATACTAAGAATTAGGCTTGTAGTGCCCGCAGGAACCAAATATCATGTGAGCTTTCAAAGAACAGTAATTTCAAATTGTTGAACTTCTTTACCAATTTATAAACGTGAGAAATCCATACACTAATGTTGAACATCTCTCCTCGATTGATCATGGATATATTATGTAGACAGGCGGGACCGCTCTTAAGCACGGTGTGCTTAATTGTTGCATAAAACATGCTTAGTTCATCTCAGTTGATTCTTGTTAAATGTCAAACTACTTTTATCTGAACTAGTCCCAAGTCCATCTCCCTTAAGTGATAATTTTTGGCCAGGGCAGTAGGAAGAAAAAAATATTTGCATCTTTCATTTACAAAACATTCAGCTTATGTGGATACACATTGATGTGAGGGAAAATCTTCCAAGACACAGTATTTCTCTCTGATGATTGTAGAGGCAAAGATTGTTGAACATGGATATACATGCAGGGTGTACTTATGATAAATGTGACTTTGTCTTGTCTTGGGAAGCATATTCAGGCTGAGAAGAAAAGTGTTTCTGTATCTTTAGGATTTGATTTCAGGTTCTCCACTCAGAAACCTTGTCAGCTTCAAATCCAACCCATCATTATTAATTCTCTGCAACTTACTCTGATTTACACCGATATTAAACATTCACAGTCTTATTATCCCCCCAAAAACATTTATTAGAAGGAAACCACAAAGAATCCATCTTTGCCAAGGAATGATATTGTTTGTTGGGCCTTCATTTACACCCACAGGTCTACATTCCATAAGACTGAGAATTTCACAAGACCTTTGCCTTATTCTCTCAATTATTGCCTCTCAACCTTGATCATTCCTGATCAATTGGAAAAAATCAATGTATAGTCAGGACAGCTTAAATTAATTCAAAACTAATCAAATGAGGTTTCCATGACCAGTCAAATTGGATTTGGTGAGCCTATCCAATGTGACCCACTTTGAGTGCAACATTCTTCCATACTGGGAGGCAAAATAAACTTTGCCCTCTTTGCTGTTGTTTTCACACCGCAACCCCTGAAACAACTGCACATTGATTAAGCACGGCGGTCTTAGCTTGGCTGTGGCCCATTTGTTTTTTCAGAATTGGGTGTACTAGATTCCAGAGGCAATCCACTTGACTTGTTTCAAGTCATTTCGTCAGTTCATGTATTCAAAGTGTTGGAGATTTTTTTTTCCTCCATCGCAAAGTATTAACCAATTGAGGATTAAGAGACTTCTACATAAGATTCATCCAAAAATTCTTGGTAACATATTCCAGACCTCCCGTTTTTTTGTACTATAGTCGTATTCGAAGTTTTTTGCCAGCAATGATTTTTATTCCTTGGACCTAAGATGAGAGTGATTAGTAAATTTATATTTCCAAATTGAACTATCCAAACAACAACGTACTCAAGTCCCACTACTAGGTCCTTGCACACCCCCCACACCAAGACCTCCTACATTTCCACGACTAATCAGAGGTATTCCAGCCCCCCCACGCCCACGTAGAGTCATTTCGTTCAAAGTTTGTACCTTGGAATCCAAATCGATTGCATCTCCCATGTCAAGGTGCTCCTTTTCAACTGGAGAGAGGCCTGATAAGAATGTGGAGTCGTATGCGTCTATTGGAAGCTTCCGAGGTACCGCTTCAAATTCCACTGGGACATTTGTGATGGCAACCGGATCTCGTTCGAGAAGCTTCCGGATAGAGGCTCTTTCGGCGGTGGTTTTGCAGATGGTCAAAGCCATTTCATCAAGCTTGAGAGAGCAAGCAGTGAAAGCAGGGCTTCTCCATTGCAGCACAATGCGTTTTGGCTTTGCTGGAGAAGGCTGGTCCTCCCAATCTGAGATGGTTTCCTTTGTGAAAAGTAGTGCCAAGGATGGTTGGTTGCCCATCTTCTTCATGGCAACATCTCGTCTCTTTTCTGCAATCTGAAATGAAAGGAACACTGTCAGTATTCACGGTAATTTTACAACTTTGCTGAAGATTATATGATACATACTTTAGTTTTACCTTGGTTGATGGTAGCTTTCCTCGACTTTTCTATTTTCAGATCTTCCAAAGATTTTCCATCCGACCGGTCCGCCTTCTTCATTAATTTCCCCTGACCTTGAACCCAACGATCCAATATTTTCTCCATGCTTGATGTTTCGTCCCAAAAAGTTCCAGGTTGTGACTTGGCCCATTGATAGTAGTGTTTCATCAATATTGTTCCAAGAGTCCCATTCCAAGGTGATGTCGTAAACGATCGAGCCTTCCACTCAAACGTGAGACGTCCAAATCCCGCAATTTGGATCTCCTGTTCACAAGATTTCTTCACGTGCATTGGGATGTTGATCTCGCTGTTCAAAACATCCGGAGTGGCTATAAACGGCGGTGGAGTTAATTTCTTGCGGATGCGGTCCAGTTCTTCACGATACATTTTCTTGAAAGTAGGCTTTGGCACTTCCTTATGCTTCTCTGAGAAAATCTCCAAGTGGGCTGTCACCTTGTCGTAGCGATTCTTTGTCCAGTTATGCCAAATACCCCATTCTGTTGAAGTTGGGCCAGCTGGGTAAGAACTGACGGATGCAGGCATTCCCATCATGAACTTGATGAAGTTGCGAATTGAGCGGGATAGTCCACTGGACTGACTCGGAAGTTTTTGTCCCACAACAACCTTTCTTACTTTGCGGGTGGTTGCTTGAGAGCTTTCATGAGCCCTTTTCCTTCTTTCTCGGTCCACTTGATTCTTCAGCGCAGCTGTCGGATCTTCAATTCCACTGTCAGAATCTGATTACCAAGGAGGCAGGACCAATTTTCAGCTTTTCCTTACCATGAAGGCATCAAGGACAGACTGGACTTTAAATCCTAGATGGAAATAAATAAGATTTCACAACTTACCGTCATTGTTTTCATCATCATCAGTATCGCCACCCAAAATCCTATCAAATTCAGCATCATCCGCATTTGCAGCACTCCCAGGTTGATTTTGAGATGTTGAAGCAGCACCGGTTCTTGATGTTCTCTCTTCATCGTCGGAGGTCTCCATGTCTGAGGCCATTTTTCTACTGTATTGCAGCTTTATGAGTGTCCAGGTAATCAAGGTATATATGGGCAAGTTACGTTGCAAAGGGATACAAGGGCAAGATCAGTAAATCTTCAGATATTTGTTAGAGTACTAAAAATGGGTGCCTGTCTGTAGAGAACACTTAGACGAAAGAATTCACAGTCTGTATCCTGGATTGGTTGGGCAACAGGGTGATTGAAGGTTGAAAAAATGGGAATTTCACGATAACATTCCACATCCATGTTGTGCACATATACCAGAATGGGGATTTTCCTCCACCTAACCTTTTTCCTGCCAGATGGTGACATGGTTCACCCAAACAGACATTTAGTACGGTACTGCACAACAAAGGAAAAAAAGAACAAATATATTATAACAAAACCAAACATCCACAATCATCCCCTTCATCTTGAAGTATTTTCATGTTGCATAATAAATTCTAATTCAGTTACAGCATCTGATTTACAAATTTATTCCTCCAACTCAACGTTCCGGCTCCATGCCTTTGTACAGAAATTGTACAGAAAACCAAACAAACAATGATCAGTAAGCAACTTGAATCTAAAACAGGTATAATTATTACGGAAAAATCTTACAATACTCCCCAGACTGACTGCTGAAATGGTTTCTTGGTTAATCCCAAAGGTCCCCTCTTTATTCCGCAAGGTGGCTATATGCCCAACAACCTGTGACTGATGTACGACCACCGCTTTCTCCAGCTTCCTCGAGTAGATTAACTTGACATTGAGCTGTGGAAGGCCTTTGTATGGATTCTTTGCTTCATCCCAACGGTTCAATGATGCAAAAGGGCGAACCACAAACCAAACATCTTCCCTTGATTGACCCATAAAAAGCAAAGAGATCCTCCCAAAGATTCTATCTCCACCTCGGTCAATCTCCACACTTGAATTGCCTGGTGGTTTCTCGAATAAATCCTTTGCTGCGACATATCTCCGATTGAATATTTGAACACTCTTGACTGTAATCACCACATTTTTAATCTCCCCTTCCACTGCATTTCCGCGGAACCCCATGTTCTCCAGTTGAACTTTCCATTGTTTGTAAACCCTTGAATCAAGTATTGCGTTTGTTTGGTTGGTTGTCATTGTCTTCTTCACATGACTATCTGTTGTTGATCCTTCCGTGCCGAGGTTCCTTTGATTAATCATCCCATAGTATAGCGCTTTTTTATTCCAGCTACTCATGAGTGTTTTATTGAGTTCCCCTTCAGAAAAGCGAAAAATCAATTTCAAGAAGCCCTTTGACCCAAATGCACAGAGCCAAATATTGACATCACCTACCAATGTGATTGTTACGCGGAATCTTTCCAAGCATTCCATTGAGACGTTCCTGAGCCCATGCAGAAGTTGCCATAGGGGGACCGAGACTCTTGATGACTTTGGGATAATGCTGGGATAAGTGGAGGTTGGGTTTGCTACTCTGTGTTGGCCACCCAAGCTTCAGTGTTTTTCGGTATTCCCAGATCAGTTTGGAGTATTTGGTAATGTCATTTGGCTCAAGATGGTGCATCATCAGAATATTTGTAATTTCAATCAACTGGACCAGTGAATCTCGCAAGACATCTTGATGTGTCACCGAGGTAGATCCATCAATCTTTTGCTTTTGCCAATCATTCCCAATCACCCAGTATGGAACCATGGCAAGTGGGTAATATACCGTATACAGTATTAACCAATCAGCTGCTTTAAGAGAACCTGAACCTGATAAACCAAAATTGTGGGGGACTCTTGAAGCCCAAGTAGGAATCTCAGTCTGAGTGATTACATCTTGCAGAACCCGTAATTCTTCCTTCACTATCCTTGGCTCTTTGGTATGATTCACCTCAGTCTCTCCTGTGTTGACGTGCTCTTCTTCTAGTCCTTCCTTTTGGGCCACCATATTTGTCTCTTCTATGTCCTCCTCAATAACGGTTCCCTTTCCAAGAGATGAAGTGCTGAGAACACTCCTTGCACGCAGATCGTAGCGACGTATAGTTGACTCGGAGGTGGAACTTTCAACAGATCTTGATACTGATCCTGATCTTGTTGAGCTTCTTGTCCTGAGTGATATTTGACTTGCTCCATACGTATTTGTTGAAGGACCTGCTGCATCTTCTTCAATTCTTGACAAGCGGGATAAATTTTTTGAATTAAGCAGGCGTCTCTTTCTCCCTCCCACCCCTTCTTCATCTGTACTACTTGCCTCATCATCAGGAGTTTTCTTGCGCTTCAGATCGGGGAAATTGAGGCCTCTAAATATATCTCCTCAAGAAGTATGTTTCTTCTTCCACTTAGCCTCAAGAATGGACAAAGCCTTCAAATCCTTTCCAGCCTCGAACGTTTTCAAGATGTTTGAGCTGTGGTCTTTCAGGTTTCCTAAGAGCAACACATGCATTATTTCAATGCCACAATGCTCCACAGGCCGCCAGTAAGGTAGCTTGTTCAGAATAGAGCTCCTGGCACCTTCCTTTGTTGCAATTTCTTCTCTTGTTGCATGATCGCTAGCTTCTTCCCATCTTTTTACTCTTTCCATGTGGGCTTCATGTGTCTTTGGCTCGAATTGATCAACATCGATAATTTCCGCCTGGTGAATTGTGATCTCGCAGAATGAACAAAACTTTGTTGCTGCATGTGATGCAAAACCAGCGGTCTTCCGAATTGCTGGTAGATCTCCTATTAGGGGGAATATGGCGGCAAATATCAGGCGGCCTTTTGGAAATGTACTTGTCTTGGTGAACCAAACCCTTTTCCAAAAATCAAGCATCTCCTCCACAAGCGGCTCCAGTATGTTGTTCATTTGGTCCACCTTGGGTTCCGTTGGTCCGGGGATCACTCCAAACAAGTATAAGTTTTCAATCTTATAACGTTCGGCTAGTGGTAGATTGAGGCAGACAAGGGCTACTGCCCCCAGTGATACAGACTTCCCACCACTTTTGTTTCCGTATGGATTGAACCAGTCGACATAAAGACTAAAGACAAGGTGCCCAGGTCTTGAAGTGAATATTTCATCCGAGTCTTGAGGTCCTACAAGATTTTTCCATACACTTCCATCCCACACATCACCCATAGTCCCGCTACCAGAATTTTTGTGTTTGAGATTGGAATCCAATAGAGCTTCAAATCCAGGGAGCCAGAGTTTATGCGTAAGCCAGGCCTTCAATGGTTGGAAAGTGAATGTTCGAATGGGAATAATTTTTGTGATTTTTTCCCCAGTTCTTTCAACATCCATCAGTTTTGCATTGCAATACTGCACTTCCTTGCCAACTTTCTTCAAGAATTTCTTTGATTCCGAATAAAAAACAGTTTTGCATGTAGTTGTTAATTCTGGAATTCTTTCATCTTTCCCCTTTGGAAGTTTTGGAATAGGGTAAAGTTTGAAGCAGTCGGTGCAGCAGATCTCTTCAGAAAAATCGTTTTCAAATCCGAGCTTTTGGAATACCGTAGGTTTTGAGAGAGGTATGTTACTGATTATTCTTGATCCATCAAATGAAAATTCTTCAGAGAGTTGTTTCACTTTTTGGTGTTCAGTCTTCAAAAAATCAGATATCTTCTTGTCGCTGACCCTCGTTACCAGAGAGAGTTTAGCCGCTTGTAGCATTGTTGTAAGACTGTGCTGAGGAATTAGCTGAAATGTTCTCGCTTTTGATGACTCAGTATCAACAACAAGATAACCATTTGCAACAGCGTTCTCCCTTTCGACGGATCCATCTTGCATTGGATTAACAACAGTTGTTTTGCCTGGGGTCTTTTTGGTTTGTTTGGAGTGAGGTAAGCCACAATTATTAGATGGAGAGTAGTTAAAATTAAGATAAGAATATACCTGATCAACTATAGTATTTTGAGGAGCCTCCTCAATCGCCCTTCCTTTCTCATCCTTCTCTTTCTTCTTCAAAATAGACCTGGAATGACTTTTAAATGAGGTAGCTGACCATGCCTTTCCTTTCTTCTCTTCCTTTGTTTCCATGTCTTGAAAAGTTTCTTGATCGCATCCAAACTCGGTACATTGGCATATTTTCCACCGAGTGCTCATTTTGTGAGGAACAATAATTGTAAGTCTGATAAAGATTTTTTAAGTTTTTGATATCCACCCCTGTTTATCTGGAGGGCCAAACCACATCTATAAATATTGATTTGAATGGCAAAACCTTCGACCAACCGCATGATACTGCAGTGACCTTGCATTGCAGCTCCTCTTTTCTCTTGAATTATTTGTACTGCTAAGCACGCCGTGCTTAGTGTAACACCGATGCCATGACACAGACATGTCAGATGGTTATCTTTGATCACTAAGCTTGGCGTGCTTAAATCCACAGAATAGGACATATTGCTTACTAAACCTTGCATATAATTATAACTCAAAATAAGCTTACATATCTAATACCCGGGCACTTTAGCAATACATTGCCTTGCGCGCATGACTCTCATTGTACCAGGAATACAAATATGTGATTATTCAAGCTAATGGGTTAAATAAGAGAGACTGAACAGAGGAAATATACCGATTCCTCTGCTAATTTCCTGTGAAAACTCATATGTTATTTTCCCTTTACTCAAGAATGAACACTAACTTGAACTTTTTGATCTTGGAAAATCAGAAAAATTCACCTTTTCACAAATTCTGCATACCCCTCACTCACCCCTCTCAGTATGGTGAAAACCTTGAAGAATGGAAAAGCTCCCTCCAATGTACAAATACTAAATAAGACTCTCTCCAGTATCATACCCCCATCCACCTCTCATTTTTCCAGATGCCTTGCTTCCTTCTGCCGTCTTGTGTTACATATTGAGAAGCTAGAGGAACAAAACTGGCAAACTTCACCTTCAGAAGAACAAATTCAACTCGCCAAAAACCTCCCACTCACAATTACAAGTCATCCTATTCAATCCAGAATCAAGCTGTCCCCAGCCAAGCCTCATGTTTTACATGGTATCTCACTTGACTGTCAGGATTTGTTTCTTGCAGATTTAAAAGCATCTAACTTTCCTAAACCGACTTTTGCGTGGAATCAACCTTGGGAATCCCACTGGAATCAAATTTTCTCCAACTTTATCCTCAAGCACTGGAATCATTGCTACAAATACGGTGCCTTTTCAAACTTCCCAATGAATTCATCCCACAAAACGTCTAGGAATGCTACTGCTGTCCTGAAAAGGTGGTTTGAAGGTAAAAGAAATGACATTCGACAAAACAAATACTCCGTAGATTCGGTAAAGAAGAAAGCTATGCAGGTGAAAAAGTCAAAATGGCGGAAGCAGGTCAGTTGGACAGTTATTTTTTGACTCTTCACATGTTTTTGGAACTGAATCATCAGAAATTCATCCAGCTCTCTCACAACCGCACCGAAGTCCTCACTTTATTGGGCCTTCCAGACGAACAGAGGGACCTCTTCAGTGAACCAACATGCTGCTCAGACACAGAGCAAACTCCCAATGCAAACTTCCATAGAGTGCAGTGCCCTTGGCGATCAACTTTATTCACCGAGCTAGGTTATCAAATTGACAAGTTCTCCGAGAAAAATAAGGCCGAACAACTGGGTAAAAAATACTACACCCATAGTACCTCTATCTGGTCACTCCGCGAAAGAAGTGATTTTCAAGAAAAAATTGTCAATGTGCCCTCGGAACTCCCTCAAAACTGCTACCATCCAACCTTCCTTGCTTCTCTCAATGAAACAGACATCAATGCTCTAAGAATGAAGGAGGAAATTGATATTGAGGCTATAATCAAACAGGTTTCTACAGAATAATGTAAGTTTTCCAAAACCCTTCTACTTAATTACCAAGGCGGTCATCCTGAAGTAACTTCTTCACCATCTCAAATTCCAGGTTTCCACTCAATGGGACACTCAACCTAATAGGATTTGAAAAGTTAGTCTTTACATTAACATTGGTCTTGTGATGTGAATAAAGATAAGAGAGGTGATCACTCACATGGCAAGCTCTGCTTTCCTGCGTTTAATCTGAAAAATATGTCCTTCAATACTGTTTGTCACACAGTACCTCACCACGTGAACCTTCTCCTGTTGGCCAATTCTGTACAATCTATCAATCGCCTGTTCCTCCACTGCTGGATTCCAAGTTGGCTCCTAAGAATCCATAGGTTTCATTCTTCAGCCTTTGGGAAATTGTATTACCAAATTTTGCATTGGACTCACCATGATGTATACCTTTTGAGCACACCTCAGATCTATCCCAACTCCAGCTGTCTTTATTGTTGCCAAGAGTATTCTACACCGTCGATCCCCCCTGAAGCGTTCCAAATTCTTTCTTCGAGTCTCATTTTCCGTCTTTCCATAATGTGTTGTAAAACTAATACCCACCTCATTCAGAGCAACTTCAATTCTGAGACAACATTAATGCTTCTGTTAGTCAATTATATGAACCCCAGGCATATTCAGTTTACAGACTCACATTTCCAGAAACCTTTTGAACTCCGAAAAAATAACCGCATGGAATTGAGCACCGCTTGCCAGGAACAACTTCAGATCTTGCACCAAATGGACAATTTTTGAGCTTTCATTCCAGGAGTATTTTTTCGTGCCAATTCCTTTTTCAGTCAATGCTGGATGATTACACAGCTGTCTTAAATCCACAAGATCGGCAAAGAAACTGCTTGAGTTCCAACCTTGTCCTCCTGTCCGATTCTTCCCAAATTGATCTGAAAATGCTTTGTGGTTTCTTTCGTATGTTTCATTCCACGGAGTTTTGAGCGCAAGGTTGATAATGGTTTCAATTTTCTCAGGGAGAGATAAGATAGTGGTTTTCAATTGCCTCATACTAATTCGGTTCATAATTGTTTGTAATGTTGAAATTCCACGGGGATCACACATCTCGACGGGGGATTCGATACAATTCTTCCAGATTGAATTTTCTGTCCATGGTTCAATTCTGATAAACTTT